TAAGAGCTACTGGAAACATTATGCAACTTACTGAGATACTGGACATGAAAGATTAGTCTGGGAATTACAGGTTTCCTTCCTTTTTCCAACAATACCTAGTAGGAGGTTGATGACAGCTCAGAATTTCAGCAAGAGAGAATATCAGATAGTATAACAGAAACCACGCCTGAAGAGTCTTTAAACAGTTGTGCTGGAAAGCATCTGCTTTGTTCACCTGATGGTAACATAACCTTTTCCTTTTCACAGTTGATATCTTCCACAGTTACATAATGCTTTGAAGAGATTTTAGATTTACAGTTTGTATTGTTAACTGTATTCTCACTCCTGAGCAGACACTTTACTCGAGGGATGGACTAAAGTACGGCTCTGTAGTGATGCAAAGGTCAGCCCAGTGAAGCACCTCGTTTCATCAGAGCCACAGGGGCTGTGTGGGCAGTCAACCTTTTACCTAACAGTCTTGTGGTTAAAGCTCCCATGCAAATAGCTAAAGGTCTAGAACAATTCAAGTCCACATCTCTTTTTTTGACATTCTGTTTGCTTGTATGGCAATACAACATGTACCATGCTGGTTTTGCCAGCTTCTGAACACCTGGACATACTCAGCATTCCTGGGGTGTATCTGAGTGAGGCAGAGATGCTACGGGGCACTGGTTTTGGCACAAAGTCCAGCTTTAGTGCTAGTTTCCAGGTTTGTTTCTGTACTTGCCATTAAACTGTATTTAGCTGCAAAGTGAAAACAGTCTCAAGAAAGTGCAGGTCTTTCCCACACTGAGTGTCCTACGCACTAGGCTTTCAACCCACATGGTTCTTGCACCTGCCTTTTTGGCCCAGAGGAATTTTGGACCTTTTTCTGGCTCCTGCATCTGACAGCAGCTGAACTTTGTGCAGGACTCAAACCTTTGAGAATGAGAGAAGCAGGCACTTAGCATGCCCTTGGCTCTGTCATGGTCTAGCACAGTGACTGAGCTGTGGCAAGTGCAACCCTGGCTCATGCCGAAACTACAGAGGGGGGGCCCTCTACAAACCTAAAGCACTTACTGTGTAAATTTAAGCATCTCTAGAAGCAGCAGCCACAGACTGGGGCTTGCATATTTTTCTTACAGCTAAATCCTATGTTGGCTATTTCTTCCATCTCTTCTAGATGCTGGCGTCTGAAGTGAGCTCAGGTCGGGAAGAGCCAGTTTCCAGAATAATCCTCCTCTGTGATCAGCTGCTACAGGGTGTGAAGTCATTTGGTCAGAGAATTATACCCCCAACGCCCTTGTTTATGGAAACCTGGGTGGAGAAGCAGCTAGGGCTCTCCACCTTAACTGCAGCTGAGGATGCTTAATTCCAAGTCTATTATCTGAAAGCCTTTAAAAGTGAAAAGATAAAAACTTAAATGTACTATTTAGCATTTTATTATACTGATTAAAAAGAAAAAAAAAAAAGCAAAAAAAAAGCCTTTTGCTTAAATTAAAACTATTTTATTTGTACCTGACAGGGAATGCTGTTAATTGAATGACATTTTAAGAAAGGTTTCCAATTTGAATTTTGCTCAGTTCTGCAGGCTGGGTATGATCTGAATTACAGGATTATATTGTGTTATGACATGACTTGATTGATATCTCAATTTTAAAAACTACCTTACTACACAAATGCAATCGTGATTCTTCTTACTTCAATTATACCCATAAATAAAGGGAGGAGGGGTTTCTGTAGCAGAACTCAGCTATGCCAAAGTCTGCTAAAACCTTTTCAAAGTACATAAAGAGTTTACTTCTCATTCCAAAATGACTAAGAACTCTTAAGAATCACAAGAGACTCTTACAACTACCTGGGAAGTACAATATTACATCCACAGAGGAAAAGCACATCACTTCTTAGAGAGGTAATTCATCATGTCACCTGCTATCATATCCCCCTGCTTCATAACTTATTTTTATTGACCAAGGACAATGCAGGGAAAGGAAAAATGCAGTGGGAATTTACTGAACATTTGAAAAGTCTAAGAAAGTATGAAAAGTCTCCCCCTTAAACATACTCATTTATAACTTCTCCTAAAGTACATCATGATATCAGAAACACCATTGCTTCACTTCAGAGAAAATGGAGAAGGCAACCATCTGCTGTAAGTCCCTCCCCATGCACTTACTGAGGAAATAGATGGAGCTGTTTTTTAGACAGTGAAATCATACACTGAGGTTTTTCCTTCCTCTGTCTGGGGAAAATCACCTGCACACCCAAGTGAAGGTCTGGTGCCAGCACCCTGGGGTTACTTTCAGGTGCCTGATTGGGTAACCCTGCTTTGACTGCAGCAACACTACAAGCAGTGTCTGGAGTCAGGGCTGTCAAGAAGCCGACAGCAAGGCAATCTGAGAGTTTTATGGAGCTATCAGACTTCTCGTAGGATGGATCTTGCCCAGAGATAGGTGCATCTAAGGTACTCCAATAAATATAACGGCAGGCATGAGAAGAGAGCTGTTTACAACCAGCCAGAAACTCACACTGTCCAGTTTCACGTCTCAGCAATGGCACTGCCCCAAAGACACTGGCTCAGGTGTTCAGGTTCCTGCCCAGCCCAACTGGAACTGATTTTGCACTTTCTGCTGTCTCTCCCAAGCTGGCTCCATGCAGAGCACTTGCCACAGATGAGCCTCTCCCTCAACCCAGGGCCACAAAGCCTCCTACAGCTTTTCAGTCTGATACTGGATTTATGAGTCTCGCCACAGGCTCTCTGGTAAGCCTACCTTTAAGCATGACCTTTCTATCTTGCCATGCTGCTGCAAAGAATAATATTGGTTTTAATTTTGGTTTACATTTATTATTTATTTGACCTTTTAAAAATAGATATTTTAAAAATAGACATTTTACCACAAGCAGTTTTAAATACATCAGGGAGTAGCCTGACTGCTCAAGTGGGTGGGTCAAAGCACGCTGGGCAGTGCTACCCCCTCCACAGGGTGTGGTGGCTTTGTCATTTCTTTATTGCCTCCTCTGGATCTCTTATCCAAGCCTGTTTTTCAAGGCTAGATTGAGAAGGTCATTTGTAGCCTTAGTCCTAGCATGCTAGAGGATATTTGATATAGAATTGATTGAATTGTAATAAAAATTATTATGGTAAAACTGTTCCCTGGTGATCTACGCGTCTGTGGAGAATTATGATGACCATTGGTTCCAACTAAGTACAACTCAAAAAGTGTCTTACAGATGTGCCATCAAAAGTTTATTGCTTCTTTTACAATGATTAAGAGGAACATGTTTTAATTTATGTAATAATGGTTTATTAGAATACTGTAATCTCAGTAGATAAGTAGGTCAAATAAAAAATGTTAGGATCCTTGTTTATCATGCATTTTCCCATCCCATCACTATCATCCCAATGAAGAGTAAATATAGTGGGTAAATTTATGCCTAATGCAACTGGGCATAAATCTGAGTAAGTGCTTTCAACTCCACCCAAGCACAAAGAACAAAAATGAGAAAAAAAAAGTAAATCAGCACTGCCTCAGGTTTGCCAGTATAGAAATCCCTCAAGCCATACTGCTAAAATTAAAGAAGTCATGAAATATCATGTGCAAAGCATGTCTGAAAGGTAAATATTTGGTGCCACACAGAAAAACCCTTTAAATGTTTAATTAACTACAAGAACCTTAACACATACTTGATCAGATTTATAAAAAGACTTTTTTTTTTCTCTCAATAATAATGATAATAATAAAGTACTGCAATCAGATAATGATATTTTGGATAGATGTAACCCCGGGTAGCTCCGGGTTAAACTTCTCTGGCTCTTTGTTTTCTCAAGTTTTAGGAGAATTGGTTGCTTCAAAAATTTATGCATCTTCTTCCCTGGTAAATATGGAGTTTAAAATCTTTGAGAATTAAAAAACTTCTTGAGGAAGCAAGTTCATAAAGGTGTTAAGGAAAGCCTTGATCCTTCTGTCCAGAGCACGACAGGTTGCTCTGTCCTGTTGTTTCCGGAGAAACGCACATCAGCCTGTTGCCCTGCATTGCCTTGCTGTGCGATGAGCCTGTCCTTCAGCCTACCATGGGACCTCAGCGTCTGCCACCAGCAAGCACACCAGGTCCTCCCCACTTGCTATTTAAATGAGATTACTGTTCATGCTCCAGTTATTGCGAAACAGCTTCTGTCGTAACAGGAGCTGCGCATTTAATATGCCGTGATTTTTTGTGTATTAGCAACTTGTAAGTCTGTCTCCCTCAGTCAATAACTTTGCTCGGAGACACAAGGCAATCATCAAACAAATGCGTGGCTCATACGCTGAAAGCCTTACGTGCTGACACAGTACCAGCACTTCTACCTGTATTCTTGGCGAGGCATATGCTTGTGCCCAAACGAAATAACTGAATTCCGTGTATCAATAGATGCAGCAGTCGTGTAACGAGGGCAACCCTGCAGGCACGTATCTCTCTGCTGAAGAACGTGTTGATGAGGCGTGGGGTGAAAGACCAGAAAACTACGTTTATTTATTCCAAACCACTGGTTCCACGCACCGTAACCCGAGGCAGCGGTACCAAACGAGACGCCACTCCCGGCGTGTCCCAAGAGCGGCGGGGTTTGCGCGCGAGTCCCAGCCAAACACCCGGGCTGCACCCACAGACGGGTCTTCGGTGCCCAAGTTCCGCGGCGGCACCGGCGCGGACTCGGCCCTCCCGGAGGGGTCGCAGTGGCCACCGGCGCCGCCTCCTTCTTCCCCCGCCTGCCCCCAACTTCCCCCGTCCCCGACGCCTTCGGCGCTCAGCGGCAGCGCTGCGTGGCGGGGAAGCGGGGAGCAGGAGGAGGGGCGCGAGGGACTGACGGCAGCTCCCGCCGCCGCAGCTGCCCCAGCCTGGGCACGGCTCCGTTCACCTCGGCGGGGGTTGCCCCGCAGCCCCCGGGGGCCGGCGGGAGGCGCCTGCGCGCTGCGGCCGCTCGGTATCGGCCCCGGAGCTGGCGCCGCCCGCAGCCTCCCGCCGGGTTCTGCCTATTTTAGTCACAGCGGCGGGTCGGTGCCCGCGGCGGGACGCGGTGCCGGGAGCGCCGAGGAGAAGAGCGGCGGCCCCAGCCCGTCCCGTCCGGGCGGCCGCGAAACTTTTCCGAGGGCGCGGGGCAGGTAAGGGGCGCGGGCAGGACTGGGGCCGTGCCGAGCCGGGCCGGGCCAGGGCGGGCTGAAGCCCCGGCGCTGCCCCCGCCTCCTCCCCCCCGCGGGCGCTGTCCAGTCAGGCAGCGCTCGGAGCACTCTCCAGCTCCTCTCTGCCCGGGCGTAAGGGGGAGCCGGGGCCGCCTCCCACCCCGCTGCGCCTCGGGGACACCCGCTTCGGGCACACCCGCTTCGGGCTTGGGCGGCGGCGGGGACAGACCTTCTGGGGGGATGTGGCTCCGGGGGTTGCGTGGCTGGGGGCAACGCCGGGCGAGCCGGAGCGCAGTCCACAGCGGAGGGGCGCGCCGCTCTTCGCTGCGCCCCGCCGGTGCGGTCCGGTCCGGTCTGGTCTGGCGGTGGTGACCGGAGAGCATGAGTCCAGCCTTGGCTGGAAATTGGAGAGCGTCACCGTGTCCCCGTTATGAAGAAGAGGGGCTCGCTGCCCTCCTCTTCCCCTCCCGAGGGGTCTGTGTGAAGTGAGACTGCATTACGTGTCCCGGGTTTAGGGTCCGTTCCTTAGGGGAGCGCGGCTTCTGCTGCCTCCTCGGGGGGTAGCCGCTGCGGCTTTAGGGAGTACCGCTGCTTGCACCAAACCAACTCGGGATCTGGGGATTACTCGCACTCACTAGGGGTTTGTTTCATGGGCTGCCGTTACTTGATTCTTCTCTCTCATCAGCAACTGGTAAAAGCAGATGAACCCTGAAATTGAGATCTGGTTTTCTATTTGTAGTTGTTTTTTCTAAAGGCAGAACAAATGATATTTGACAGAACAAAACACATATTTTCCCCAAATGATATTTTTTCCCCAACAGTTTTTTCCAAAATATTCTATTTTACTGTATTTTTTTCAACTGTGCTGTAAAGCTTTGTGTGCGTTCAGACTGTCAGTCGCTTTATGGTCAAACATTTTATATACCTAATCTCTTGTAATACTGAATCATGGACCACCCAGTAGTGTTATACAGATGTCATTGATGAAATCTGGCTTCCAGAACTAGGGCGTCATGCCACTCTGTTTATTAACGGGAATATGATTGTATACATGCAAGTGAAAATGTCTTCACTGACCACAGCAAACCAAGAAATGGTTTCCACATCTGTGGAACTGTTGCTGTTCAGGCTTTCCACAAAGTTCTGTCTGGTGCCAAATAATAAAGTAGCTTAAAATGTCAAGTTTTAAAGAAGCGCCTTGCCTGCGAAATAACAAGTACAGTGCAAGTCCTGTAGTGAGAATAGGTATTGAAACAGAAGGAAACGTGATATAGGTAATTATGAAGGCAAAGTTTGTGGCAGGAGAAGCTTTTATGATGGAAGTTGAGAACAAAAAGTTTATTAAGGATTCAGAAAAGGGTTGTTAGCTGAAGATATGTTTAATCTTTTTATTCAGTTGGCAGGCTCTTCAAAGATGAGATTTTATCATATTGGTGTATTCCACTACCTTGAGAAAAAGAGCTCTGGTCAGTGTCTCCAGGGGATGGTACAGTACACGTAACTGGCCATGCCCCTGTTGCCCAAATAAAAGTCAGATATGACTTTTCAGTGAACAAGCCTTGGTTTGTGATTATACTAGGTGACAAAACTAAGAGTGTTCTGGTTCTCATAGAAAACTAATGAAAGTGATGCTAAACCAGCACCACATGCATGCTTCTGCCTCGTTCTGCTTTGTATGTAAAGCTGTATGACACTCATTCCAGTAAAGCAGAGAATATAAATGTACTTCTAACCCCAAGCCTTCACTAAAGATAAACAATTTCAGAAGCTCAATTAGGGCATCCTCACTACCTTTTAGTGTGTTTCATTCTGGTTTAGAGCTCATGGGGTACGTAAGTGTGGCACTGCTTGGCTCAACCATGCTGTTCATCTGTTTGAACACGTGGCTCACGACGCTGCTTCTCTGTAATCCAGTTGTATGAGCGGGAGTAGTACAATGAACCAAGTGTTTGTGTTTATTTCTTTTTTGGGAAATGAAGTTCACGTCAGGTGGTTGACTTTGTTTCCCATGCAAAGGTACTGCTCCACTGTACAAAATAATTTAAGCTGAGTTCTACAGAGTTCAGCTGTAGTTCATTAACACAGTTTTAAAGCACTTGTGTAATGTGTTGTAGCTGCTTTCTCTATTAGCAAATTAAAAGCTGAACTGTAGAAAAGCTTGAACTTGTGCTTCACTTTGCAGTTTCTATTATAAAATACAATGAAACAGACCCCCTGAATTATTATTTGGCCAGTGCTGTTCAATATATGAGCCTTGCTCAATTTTACCCAAGTGCTAGCAATCCATAGTTCATTTTAAAAATGTCTGTCATTCCATATTCATGTTTCCTAGGACCAAAAGACCTTTAAAAAAAAAAAAAAAAAAGTAGGGAGGGGCTTATTCTTACTTTGGCAGGAATACCACATGTACTTATGGGTCATCAGTTCTAATTCAAATAGGAAGAAAATCTGTATTTTTTTTTCACATTGGATCCTGTCTAGATGGTAAAATAGATAGCATCTTCAATATTGGCTTTGCAACCACGGCGGATTGCACTGTATATTTTTCAGTGATAAACGAGGAATCGTTCAAGTACTGTAAGCTGTGTGGAGTAAGCTGGTCTTTAAATATTTAAAGACTAAATAATAGCAGCTTCACCATATGCGGTGCTTCTAATGAACCTTAAACTGTTCTGTATTGCTGTGGGTTTTCTTTCCCTTTTGACGGCATCCCCCTCCCTCCTCCCCAACTTTTTTTCAATTGAAAAAGATTAGTAGGAATTTGAGCAAATTGCAAGTAGAATCAGGCCTCCCCAGCTGCAGCCATGCAAGCTCAATGACTTGAAACTCCCATGAAAAGGCACACATTAAAGCTTTCTACTCTGCAGAAAGTGGTTCTGGCCCAGCCTGGTAAGGAGGACAGCCAGTCTCTAGCCCCTGCTGTTGGTGGGTCATTTGCATGGACCATTGACCTCAATGTAGAGACGGTGTTGGGGTGTCTCCAGGGTTAGGCAGCAGCTGACTGAAGGGGGTTCTTGGTTGAACAACTTGAGTGTGTGAGCCTAAATTTTGCCTGGCCAGAGCAGAGTTTTGCCCCTGAAAAGTCCTGCTTGGCTGGTGGTTGTTTCTCAGAGATGCCCTGAAGGTGGTGAAGCACCACTGTTGGTTGAATGTGCTCTGGCTGCTTATTTTATAGCACTGAGCATTCCCAGAAGGGTCACTCTCTGAGAAGGCATCACTTCACATGGATGCTAGGGGGGCAGGGGATCTGATTTGGCAGTTGCAGCCTGTGCAGCCCAGGGGGTACTGGAAGGACTGGGAAGGCTGCGGTTTGACTGCTTTTCCTAAGGCCTGAGATGCTTTGCCTTTCAACTGACAATCTGTACTCAGAGCAGTGATCCAGGCGGTGACATAGCAATGAGACATCAGTGAGACACACCGTGCTTTCCTCTGCCCAAGGGAGTGCAAATCCATCTTCCTTCCTCCCATGAGGGTGTCCAGAGTGATTCTTTTTGACTTCTGTGGGTGGGTCACTTGCTGCCCTTTTTGTTGAAACTGTGATGTTGCGCAGAAACAAGACAGAGAGGGAGAACTGCGCCATGGTTGCTCTGCGCTCTGTGATGGGGACAGTCGTCCAGGGAGTGGGATTCTGAGGCTTGGCTGCTGGAGTGACATACACGTTTCATGTTAAAGCAATCATTGATAAAACATCCCTTTCTTTGAAAAGCATTGGCAGAAATGGATGCTGGCTCCACACAGATGAAGGTTCCTTCTGGAAGGGCTATATGAGGAATAATTTCAGAGATATACCTGTCTTCAGTGTTTTCTGTTGTCTGAAGTAGCTGATTAGTTGGTATCTGAGGTAGGCTTCTAGATATCATTGGGAAGACCAGCTGTGTAACTTTCTAGGTATGTACACACTTTTCAGATTAAGGAAATTAATACAGAAGTCCAGAAGACATCATTGTGGTCATCTAATCTGACTTTCTGTAGAACAAAAACAGAACTGGAGTAAATCAATCAATATTTTTAATAATAGCATACCTAGATTTGATTTAGGTACCAGACTTCTTTAATTCCCAGCAAAGGGACTCTTTAAAGCCATCCCATTAATAAACTAACTTTGCTATATAAGTTTGTGTGTCCTTGTAATCTAAATATATCTAGTTTTATAGTAACTGGTTATTTTGATACCTTTGTCTTTTGGATTGGATAGTCCTCTTCCTCATCTTCCTTAAATCTTCTTTAATAGATATTATGTACTGTGGTGAAGCTACTGTAGCCTTCTCCATATTGCGCAGGCTGCATTTTCTCAGGAAAACAGTGTATTTTCCAGTATTATAATTAGTGCTTTCTCTAGGATATAGTCTCAAGAAGTTCAAGGTAAGCTAGCTTTTGTTGTCAGTTACTGTCCTAATTGCTGCATGCAGGTTTTAAGCCTGGAGTGGGCCCAAGGACCGTTTATCAGTGAAAATATATTGTTTATCTGTCCATACTTGCCTATATGCACATAGACATGACTCTCTGTAGGTGCATAGCTCTTCTGTGCATTGAGTTGGACACTTCATTGCAATTAAGAGTTTGGTTATCTCTGTCCCTTTGTGTATCTAGCCCCAGGTGAACAATGCAGAAGGAAAGTAGCTTCAGGAAAGTGTGCCACATAAACAATCGCTGAGAGCAATAGTTGTCAGCAGAGGGCCGGAGGGAGGATTTCAGAGAGGCAGGGCAACCAAAGGGTGTATGTTAATCACTGTATGCATTTACATTGCATGTTAGACGAAGTACTTGCTAAAATTAAGGAGCAGCTTCTTTTTATACATTGAAATGATGGCCAGAGCAGATGTAACTTGCCAGCCTTGGTAGGGTGTTCAGAGCTTGTTCCTCTGGAAGCGGGGAGTGTCGATGCTGGGAGGGCCCCCCTTGGCTGGAGGGACCAGCTGGTTCCAAGCAGAGTTGCTGAAGCAGCTTTACTGACTGCTAAGGCAGTCTGTGGGCACAAGCTCATGTATAGACATCTACACATCTACAGTGGCTAAAACCAATGAGACAAATCCTGCTAAGTCCAGCAGAATCTCATTTTGTATATGAAATGTACACATATGCTGTAAAGGAAAATCCTTTTTTGCTTCCAAACCTGTAGCAAAAACTTCATCTGGGCTGGTTACAGGATCAGCTATATTTACAGCTCTATGGCCTCTCAACATGTACAGTGTGAAGGTGCTGAGGGCTTTCAGCTGAATAGCTGGGATAAGACTGAAGTATGGAGTATTTGAACTCTGAATAGCTTAACTTTTGACTTAAATTAAACATAACAAAGAAGAACTGCTGGTGGCCTCAGGGCTTTTAGCGTTTATTTTTTTTGCAGAAATTTACTGTGATCCAGACACAGTAACCTAACACAAAGATTCTCTGAGTTGAATTTGAGTAATCCATGACAAAATTGGGCTGAAGTACCCAGTTCTCAAGCAAATTAAAAATGTACGTAAGTGGTAATTATTTACGGGAATACTACAGTGTATGGAGAAAATGCCCATTTGGGAGCAGGAGGTTGTGCTATGCATTTAAATGACAATATAAATTCATTGTTTTGACTGTTTTAGTATACTCTTTATATGAAGTTTTAAGTTGATGGCAGGTATTTATTTTGGAGAGTATAAGTTAAATAATCCATTTACTGTTTTGAAGCCCCAGCTTGCCTTAAAGAAATCCATTTCTTTAAAACAAACAGCAGCATTGCTGAAAGGACCAAGCTGTCATCAGAAAGGGTTAAAATCAACAAGTTTGCTGGAGCTTCAAAGCCGTAAATGGAGTAATATTGCTTACATCTTACAGCTGGGCTGACTTTTTCCAGCACTTGATCTGCTTCTGCTGGAGAGGGTAGGGTATGTGGTGGGGAAAACACTCAGAAGCATCTCAGTAATTCAGCCTGTGTTGGCAGGGCATGTCTCCTTCCTGAGCTGGGAGATCTCTGGAAGCCTACAAATGTCAATGTGTTATTCTTAATACGTCACAGAGCAGAGGCTGTGCTTCTGCATGCTGCTCCTGCTTCTCCATAGGCAGGGAGCAGAGTAAAACTTACTCAGCATTTGCGTGGGGAAGATAGCTTTTCAGCTTATAATCGAAGATAACTGCTTTAAATCTGGTTTTCTGCTGAAGCTTGCCTCGTCACCACCATCAGATGAACCTGTAGCAGTAACTGTTCACCACAGCCAGGACAACTGAAGCAGGACATCAAACAAGGCCACATTAGTTGGCACATTCCCTGTTCTGGTAGCTAAGTACACTGAAGCGTCTCAGTGAGAGAATGGTGCCCATTTTGGGTGCTTACAGACTTGGTAATTCCATGCTACTGTAGGCATTTTGTAGGCTGGTCCTTAGTGTAGGACAGCTCACAGCTGGAACCACACCTATTTGTTTTTTTGGTTTGGGGATTCTTCTCCCTTTACCCCTGCTTTCAGTAGATGAATGGTTTAATTAGAGTTGGCTGAGACTGTTCTGAATCCCTTGAGAATTTAAATTTTGGACTTGTAGGAACTGTAAGGAAAAACATGAAAGACCTTATGTAGCCCTAAATGCCAACAGAATTGGAAATGTTACTATACTTAGGCCTATACATACTATGGTCTTTGCTCTAATACTTCATTAAAAAAAAACAAACTATTAACAGTTTCTAGCTCCCAAATCATAGAATAATTTATTGATTTAAAAGAGGTGAATTATCTCTTTCTGCCTGTAATTCACTGGCAGCAAGCATGCCCGCTCTTCCCCGTAGCCCTGAGAAACCAGCTCCATTTAGGAGCAGGCTTCATCATTATTTCCAGAGGGTTGTTTTTTTTCTGCCTGCACACCTTATGTAGCTCAGGAGAGTGTCTTGTTGGAGAGGCTGTATTCTGTGCTGGCACCAGCCTCCCTCCTTTGCCCTTCCATTTGCTCGGATGGAGGGAGGCCATCTCCAGCCTGGGTGATGCTGTAGCACAAGTAGAAGTTCTCCATGTGCAGATATAAGGAATTTTGCATACAATGGCTTTGGAAGGCAGGTTCCATTCCAAAATAAACAGTTACAAATACAGGACAGTTTTTCCAAGTCTTTGGTTTTATGTACTATGGCTCTCTATCTGTGTCCTAGTCATATGCTGTTCTTTTCAAATTATTTTGACCCATTTTGTCATGAATAGATGTTTTACTGCAGTGCTGTGAGCTGGAGTGTGGGCAGACTGCGAATGCTACGAGCAAATTGGAAATTGAACATATATTCCGTGAAATTATTGTAGCATCGTATCATGTTATTGCAGTGTGTCGCTTTACATGACAGAAAGACATTGGTAATGGAAAGTAGGTTACAGTACAGAGTCATAGTTTTGTTTGTGGCATGCATACAGCTTGCCATGTAACTTCTCAGTTGTGGTTCCATTCAAAACATTGAATTTTTTGTAGGAATTAAGGTCTTCATGGGAACTGTTCAGAGAAAAACCTTGGCAATAGAGTAGAAGTATTAACAGTAGTACAAACTCAGTCTTACCAGTGATTCTATTTAAAATAACAATCCAGCAAAAGACCTATGCCACTGATGTTTGACTGTGCAGTGGAAACGCTGACTGGATTCAGAGCACGGGGTCTGGGAACTGCATGTTTGTTTTATTGTTTTCTAGTTCAGAAATCTTAGCCCTTGACCACAAAAGTACCACCTAAAATTCCTCACGCTTTTACCATTCCAAGGTTACTTCTTTGTAGCTGGTTCAGTTCTCATCTCCCGTTCTCTTAGGGCTAAATCCTGCATCTGGGGGGGGGAATCCTGTACCAGAGAAGAGTATTTGGGTAAAGAGACAAACAAAAAAGCTTATAATTACAAAATACTTCATCCTTGTAATGCCTGCTCTTCCGGTGCAGTAAGATGTCAAGTCTCATTTTGAAGAGGTTCTGTGCTCTTCAGATGTGATGTTTTTGTGGGTTGGTGACTTCCTTGTCACCACTCCCAGAGAGGAAGAGCTCTCTTCCTAACTTTACTTCTGAACTTTGCTACTCATTTGTTTAGGATTTTATGTCTCTATTTAACATTAGTGGGTTTGAATCATGGAGTTAATGTTGGGGCTTGAGTAAACTTAAAAGAAGTAAAGCTGTAGCATCTAGGAAATGTGATGTGACTTTGCACTATTAATTTCTTAGACCTGCCTCTGTAAAAAAACCACCACTGAAAGCCTTGCTGAATGTGCACCAGGATTTTAAAGTATTGACTGCTGTGGCTTTTGTTGAAAAAAAAAAAAAATAAAAAATCAGCCTTTGATACTCTGGACAATCTAATAATTTAGATGGCAAGGTATTTCTTAGCTTCTCTGATATTTTACCAGGAAAAGGGTCGGGCAGTTAAAGACTTTGATGGGTTTCAACAGTGATTCCACCACTGACAAATTCTGGCTTTGCAATTTCGACCATGTCTAATCTCACATTGAAGCATGCATTTTTACTTTAAAAGACTGAGAAAGCTGGTTTTGATTTTTATTTTTTTTATGTATTTGTTTTGGTTTTTTTTTCATGTTTTTTGGTTGTGAATTTTACTTTTTATTTAATTCTTAGAAGCATGTTATATGGAAACAAATAGGATGTTTAACTTTACAGTATTGGAACAATAAAATTATGTGGTCCATGGCATGAAGTTATATGAGGTAGAATATTACAAAATTGCTTTGTAAATATCCTTTGAGGAGTATTTTGCAGGACTACTTACTTCATGTTCTAACAACATAGACATACATGGCAGCTTTTTGCCTGCCATCCTTGGAATAAAAAAGACCATCCCCAATGATACTTGGGTTTCCCTTAATGTGGTGTTTGGTGATGCAGTTTTCTGTCTTCAGGGACAGGGAACAGCCTTGCTCAACTCATTAATGAGAGTGGTTTGACCGAAATCCAGAGTGAGATGGAGGAGGTGGACAAGGAACAGGAGAGTTCACTGTCACTTCATGTCCAAGAGCTTAAATGATACTCCCAGGCAGCAGGTTCAGGACGAACAAATGCAACTACCTTTTCAGCAGTTAGGCAGTGGAAAGGTTTGTCACAGGATGTTGTGGATATGATGTACAGCTTTTCAGTGGTGGTGCTACTATTGCTACAGGGTTCATGGATACAGAAACATGATCTTCAATTGAAAGAACATTAAGGTTTGATCCTGGAATCACAGGGCCACAAAGGGGAATTGGAAGATTGTAACACAGTCTGTAGTTTTAGGCAATAAAAGCTTTGATAGAGTTTAATTGATGAAAATCATTTTATAAGTAATTCCTCTTTTCTTCACTTATCCAGATCAGATGACACTACGGGTGACATGGCTAAAGTCAAAACAGTGCATGAACTGATGAGAAACAACATTGCCTTCTGAGGACATTAGCTTCCTTGTTGCCAGAAATCCTAAGTGCAACTTTACTACCAAAAGAGACCCTGATGTTTTGTGATCATTGAGCAGAGTTTGCAAGAATGGAAAAGCAAAGGACCCCACTAGCTGCGTCTCATAAATAAAAATTTCCAGGATTCAACTGAATTGAAAAAATATTTCAGCCATGGGAGAAAATGCAACTTTTTGGGAAAGTTTGATATATGCACATCCTCCATGTACCACCTGGAAGCGAGAGGCAGAGGGATCTATCTACCACCTAGCCAGTATTCTCTTTGTTGTGGGCTTCATGGGTGGAAGTGGATTCTTTGGGCTTCTCTATGTCTTCAGCTTACTTGGATTAGGCTTTCTCTGCTCTTCTATTTGGGCTTGGCTGGATGTCTGTGCTGCTGATATATTCTCCTGGAATTTTATACTGTTTGCTATATGCTTCGTCCAGTTCATTTTTGTTACCTACCAAGTTCGGAGTGTTTCCTTTGACAGAGAATTCCAGGAACTCTATAGCTCTATCTTCCAGCCTCTGGGAATTTCCTTGACTGTCTACAGGAAGATCGTCTTGTGCTGTGAGGCAGAAGTGGTTACCCTGGAGAAGGAACACTGTTACGCCATGCAGGGCAAAACACCTATTGATAAACTGTCCTTGCTTGTGTCAGGCAGGTTTGTATTGGTTTGTTTGGACTTCCTGCAAACATCTTTATTTTTCCCTAATTCTTAAAAATGAAAGGAAAAACAAAAAAGAGCCTGGTTTCTGTATTGTTTGTTCTTTTTCCAGTACAATAGAATAAATATTAATGTAAGTAATATAAATATTAATATGCTAAATACACTCATCTATTACAGTTCTAGAGTAAAACCACTAAGCACAAAATCTGTAATAGCATAAAGTAAAGGATTTAAAGTCTTTTTTTTTCCAGACCACTGTATCACAGTAATTTTAACAGGTTAGGCAGATAAAGGGAACAAATAGGTGCTTCAGTCTCTGGGCTATGGTTTGCTATCTGTCTACTGAGTAGCTAATGAACACAGCATCTTTCTGAAACTGGAGTAAAAGGTAGTTATGAAACCAGTATACTGAGGTAAACTCTATTTGATAGAGATCTTGACTTCGATAAAGATTGTATTTGATTGCTTTATGGGTAGTGGGAGGAGTAAGGGAGAGCAGAAAGTCTAAAAGCACCTTTCCATTACAAAGGAACGTAGTTGAGCCCTATCAAGATTTGTAGAACTGAGTCTACAGTTACTGTATACTGTGACCCTTAGACCTTGAGGCAATAAATACACCTGCTTTTGCTCCCTGCATACTGGAGACCCTTCTGGCAACCTTGCTGATGCTTTCCCTTCCCTTGCTTATGCTTTCCTGTAGGGCAGTGCTAGCTTTCATACTGTATACAAAATGGTATACCAAGTGTTTACAGTACTGGACCACTACAAGGGCAGGTGGGATACCTGGAGATGATGGCCATGGTTTGTCTTTGGGACATTTCGTGCATGCATTTTAACAGCCTGCTGCATGGACAGATGGATTTTGTAGACAGATTGAAACTCATCTGATTTAGGACTACATGCAATGAACAATGTGGACTTTAGGTAGCTGTCCTTGGTGATAACCTGTTCCAGAGCATTCTTGGGAGCTGGCTGGAAAGTACCATGTGGACATTGCTTTTAGTCATAGTCATACTGAAGGAGAGGTGTCCATCCTTCTGCAAGCCCAGCCAGTTAGTAATCATGCAGGGAGTTTCTGCTACCCTCCTTTGTGCAGTATAGAGCTGCTGCTTCTGATATTGTAACAAGCATTAACTTCTGTGATGACCAGATGTAAAACCAGTATGCCTAGAGCTTGCTTTTTTGTCTTTTAGCTTATGAGGTTTAACATATTTTTCCTGCTTGTGTGCCTTCAAACTTAAGTATGATTTTAAAAGTAGAAAGTAAATTCTGCTTTGGCATCTGCAGAAGACCACAGCATTCTCACAGAGATCCTGTACATCCATGCTGTTCTCCTGATTCCAGAGACAGTCCTGCAGTCATGTAATTCCTGTAAAACATTGAGAGCACCATACTTAACACTATGGGGAACTCTTGCTTCCCACTCTCTGCTTTTGCCACTTTGTTCCCTCTAAAACACATATTTACCAAACCTAGAAGCGTATCCCATGGCTTGCACGTAAAGGAGGTGCATGGTGTTGTGTACATTGGTCTTTCACCTCTCCAGTGCACGCTGGCCTTTTCCTGACAAAGCTTTCACATCACTGCACAGACCTGCCCTAGAGGGAATAATGATATGACTTGAATAAGGCCTGGAAAGATTTCCATCTCAGTTGCACGATTGTCTTATATTCTCTTTCAACTGGCCTGATCAAGTTGGATTCAGAAATATAATTAGGATACTGTTGTCCAGTGATTGCTTTTTCATGCACTCAAAGCTATATTTAAACTCCTCGCATAGTAGAAATAACACACTCTTGTTGCAGTCATTGCTGCTGTACAGGTAGTACTAACAAATTAACACATCTTATCTTGGTAGGATCAGAGTGACAGTTGATGGGGAGTTTCTGCATTATATTTTTCCTCTTCAATTTCTGGATTCTCCTGAATGGGATTCCCTGAGGCCCACAGAAGAGGGAATTTTCCAGGTAAAAGTGGAGGGTTTGTTGGGTTTCTTTAATACTACAGAAAACTGTTCAAGTACTAATTGGTTTAGAAATAAGTTCACTTAGCTGGGGGCTTCATTTGTGAAATCATACAAACAAGTGGCATTACATTAATTTGGGGAGGGAGATCCTCGCTTTACCTGCTGGAGTGGTTGTGCTGCTTGCTTCTTCTTTCTGTTTGCATCTTTTGTTACAAAAAATTGTCTTTTCCTTAAAGCTAATATGGGAGGTAGACGCTGTTGGAATTCTTTGGCTGTGCTAAAATCCAGCCCTGGGAAACCAGGTTTGCAGGAGGTGGGTGAAAGTTGGTGCTGAAAAGGCTTCCCTGTGAAAGGTGAACCCAAGAGTGCGGGCTGGGAGAGACATGGCTGTGATACAGCTTGGCATGGGGGTACAGCCCAGGACTCAGTGTCCATCCAGGCTGCCTCTCTGATCCATGAGCCTTCCCAGTGCTGCCACTTGACTGACACATGAGCTCCTGCCTGTGTGGGATCTGATGTCTCATGTCATGAAGGCAAATGGCATTTATTGAGAGCTTTCTTTAGACCTGCCTTTGCAGCTGGGGCTGTCAAGAGCAAAGCAGGGAGTGCTGGGCCAAGGTTGGGGTATCCTGGCTGGGGCTGCCATTCAGTGTGGGCATAGGCATACTGTCACTGAGACCGACAAGGCACAATCATTTTATACATTCCTGATGACCCTTCTCACTTGTCCTTTGCATACAGTAGACCTTACAGAGCTCTCTGGATGGATTAAATGGCTTTAATTACAGTAGGCACAAAGACACGAAGTGTATGCAGTGTACAGACACAGCCTGCTGAGAGAAGGGTGCTGTCTGAGCAGGGGCAGCAGTGGCAATGTCACTGCCTTCCCTCTTAGCTAATTTTAATTTCCTTTCCTATAGGTAACTCTTACAGCAGAGACAGATTGTCGGTATGTGGCCTGGAGGAGAAAGAAGCTGTATCTGCTGTTTGCTAAACACCGTTTCATCTCCCGCCTGTTCTCAATTTTAATTGGGAGAGACATTGCTGAAAAACTCTATGCCTTGAATGACAGAGTGCACATGGGGAAAGGCTTTAGGTACGACATTCGGTTACCGAACTTCTACCACGTTGCACTGCCAGAGACCCCTACTCTGCACCCCTCCTACCACCTACAGAGAAGGTCCCCCCAGCGCAAGCCCGTGGGGGTTACAAACTGCAGCCCCTTCAGCCCACAGTCCTAGGAAGGAAAACTCTGCGGCAGCCGTTCTCCAGAGCAAAGAAGGGAAATGTGAAGTGTGAAGCGGAAGGGCGGAAAGACGAAGCAGAATAAGACCCAGTCATGCCAAATTTGACTGACAAGTGCCATTTACTTTCATTGGAGTAGCTTGAATTCTTCCTCTCTCTAGAGCCAGTGGGTTGGCTTCTGTGTTTTGACCGTTTGTGCAATGTGTTTAGTTTCTGTTGACTCTTTTGTTGATGTTCATCTCCCTACTTTTAGAGGAAAACAAATCATAACAGGCTTAAGTTTTACTGTAACTGCGGTGGCCTCTGTGTTGTGGTTTGGTTTTTTTCTTAAAAAAAAACAAACCCATGGTATGTGTTATTACACTTTTGCAAAATCATTTGCCATAATGAAGTATAGCCAGTCAATGAAAACAAGTAAGTTGTCTTCAAACTATAGCAACTTGCTTGTAGCATTCATATATATATGCCATGTGAACATTTTGTGGTTTAAACCCAGTCAGGCAACTTGTTCACTCATTCTCAGTGAGTGGTGCTGGGCTGACAACAATCGAGGCCCCCCCCCCACCGGGGCTCTCCCCTTCCCTACTCCTGGAGGAACGGGGAGGAGGATCGAAAGAGTGCAACTCCTACGGGTTGAGACAAGAACAGTCCAGCAACCAATGTACAACACAAATCACCACCGCTACCACCACCGACAGCAATGATAAGAGAAAATAACAAGGGAAGAGAATACGATACCACCGGCCAAGAAACAAGTCCCACCCGGAAGCCCGTGTCCTTCCGGGTAACTCCCAGTTACCCCCCACCCAGGGCATGACGTGCTATGGTATGGAATACCTCTTTGGCTAACCTGGGTCAGGCGCCCCACCTCTGCTTCCTCCCGGCTTCCCCTCCTCCCTGGCAGAGCATGAGCCTCACAAAGTCCTTGGTCAGGGTAAACATCACTTAGCAACAACCGAAAACATCGGCATCACCAACACTGTTCCCAGGCTGGAAGTCAAAACACAGCACTGCACCAGCTACCACGAAGGAGAAACATGACTGCTACTGCTGAACCCAGGACAACATTGTCTCAATTAACATGAAGAATATTGCCAAAAAAGATCTATGAAACCCATTGTGTTTGTTTCCTTTCTTTAAAGAAAGAAAAGATTTTGAAATGCACAGCACGATTCTTAAAACAACAATCCAGTAGAAAAAAGAGCAAAAAGCCCCCCAACAAATTTTGTCTCATGAGCAATTGGTTTCTCCCTAGCTGTCCTAAAGATGTAATGTGTGAAAACAAAGATGTAATTGCTGGCATTACAAAAGTAAAGCAGTTTTGTCTGCTGCAAATATAGTTTACTGAAATGATTGTGTAGTGTTTCTGATAGAATGTGATGCTATAGGACCCAGGCTTCCACAGTGTCAGTGCCATTCGTGACATATACAATAAATACTGCTAATCAATGAACTGCCAAACCATTGGAGTTTGTTTTACAATATTCTTTATAGCTAGGTTTTTCAGAAACAGCTGCAGCAATAAATACAATTTTTAACCGAAACATTCTCACTTAGCTTCCAGAGTCACTTTTCTGTGCCTGTAAAATTCCTGATTTAACAATTTTTTATTCTCCCCCTAATTCTGTGGTGGTTTAATGGCATAAGTGAGCACCAGCTCATGCTTTTGACCCTTGAGGTCACTGTGCCTTTGGGGAGAGTGTCTGAACGTCTTTGCTAACTTACCTTCCTCCTGCTATGCCTGGTGCCTGCCAGTAATCAAAAAATAAGAAGCATTATTATTTTATGAGCCTGTATTGCTGCTTGATACATCTGGAGGTAGATGACATTTTTAATATTTTAAAACTGCTGGACTGTGGTAGGGCAACCATTGTGTGTGTATGTGTGGGTATATGGCTGAGTTTAGATCTTGGAGATTGTTGATGGAGGACTTAAAATAATGATGCAACCTCGTGCTTGAAAGATAATCATGCAGTATGTATAAGAAAGCTATTAGATGTGATATGAAACACCACCTGTTTGAAGGACCTTCAGTGTGGAGCAGATAACATTGTACAATTTTTGCTTTAATTTTATGTCCCTTTCTCAGAGAGGAAAATCTGCCAAACATAAATACTATAGCATGCAATGTGATAATCCCCAAATCCTTCTAACAGCCCTTCCACGTGATGTTTTCTGTATGTATTACTTAATGTTTGAAGCCCCTCACTCACAAAGTTACTTGGTCAAAAAGGAATTGAAAAACTGCAGAGTTCATTGACTGCTATTAAAGACTGACCCAGAAAATACTATGGTACACTGCAAGAGGCTATATAATGCTATAATACTATGGTACACTGCAAGAGGCTGGCAGTGTGTAGTAAACATGTGCTTCCTTCCTACACTTTTGACAGTTAAGGGGCAAGACAGCAGACTACCTGACCCCTTGGTATGCCTCAAACAGGTATTCTCATGTAACTTCAGTGCTGTGGTTAGTATCATGTCTTACATGTCAGCAGTACTCAGTGCTGAGGTGGGTATGAAGTGTGTCATCTCTTGTGGATGCTGGCCCTTATATTGCATCTTGGATCCCCACTCTGCTTCACCTGGTTGAGCTGTTCTGAAAACCATATGCCTGGTTTTTAATAGGTGATTTAAAAAACAGGCCCCATCTCTCATTCTGATAACAAGAATTTAAAAATCTCTCATCCTATAACTTGCTGGACCTATATGAAGAGTATACTTAATGTTTTATGTGTTAGCAATCTCCAAACATAAGAAGATTATAGCCTAGAAACATAAAAGAGATGTTATTCTAGATTTAGGTGAAATATAAATCATTGATTAATGTTCTCCTTGGGTTTCTTGAATTTATGGGCTTGACCCATGTATTAAAAAACCCTGCCTAACTTAAATAGGATCAGCACTTAATAAACTAGTACAATCATCTTCACCTTCAAAATAAGACCAAGGAGTCTTGCCTACCCAAGTTTTGTATCAAGCTTATTTATTCTATTTCAACTACAGCATACTGCTTAGAAAGATACCTGCTCTGGAGTGATGGGTGCTTCATTACATACTTTGGTAATCTTTTCCTTGTTTGTGACTGGTGTGTGGCTTGGTTTCCTCCTGGTTTCCAACCCTAGTTCCCTGGGATGGTTTTCTCTGATGAAGTCAGTTACCATCAGAAATCTCTACTAGGACGTGTCTGAGTCAGTATCTGCGCATACTCTTGTTTAGCTTTTGCTACTGTGGCTTTTGGGCTTTTAGTCACTTTTAAAAACTTGTCTCCAGCTTTCCAGCATCTGTTTGAGTCATGACTGGCAGAACATTTCAGCTGTAGAATTCAGGGCATAGATATCTACAGTTGTATAAGTACATACAATAGGACTGGAAGCAAGATGGCAAGCCCTTTCCACCTCTGCTTTTTCTAATCTTCACAGCACTTCTGAAACGTACTGTAAAATGCGCTCTGGTATGTGACACATACACCAGTGTTTTGGGAGAGCTGTATAATATATACCTAAGTAAAGGTACAGTCAGACTGATGTCAGTGAAATAATACAAGCTTTTGTGATATATGCACCCAGTCATTAGAGAGTTGAGGTTGTTCAGTTTGGAGAGGAGAAGGCTCTGGGAAGACCTTATTGTGGCCTTTCAGTACTTAAAGGGCGCTTATAAGAAAGATGGGGACAAACTTTTTAGCAGGGTCCGTTGTGATAGGATGAGGGGTAATGGTTTTAAAATAAAAGAAGGGAGATTCAGGCTAGATACAAGGAAGAAATTTTTTGCTATGAGGGTGGTGAAATGCTGGAACAGGCTGCCCAGGGAGGTGGTAGATGCCCTATCCCTGGAGACATTAAAAGCAACCAGGTCTAGTTGAAGATATGCCTGCTTGTTACAGGGGGGTTGGACTGAATGACCCTTAAAGGTCCCTTCCAACCCAGACCATTTTATGATTCTGTGATTATTTATAGGTTAGTAAACGTTTGGAGCTAGATGAAGCCCTGATTTGAGCATCATGCAATTTATGGCTATGTTTTTACTTAGGAATAACTATCAGTGAGGTGGTCGGGCTCCTTCATAATCAGTTTAAGTGAGTGGATACTTGAGTCCATGCTGGTTTGTGAATTGAGAACACTATTAATGAATCATTTTCTTGATCTGCAGTAATTGCCCTTTAGTCACATGTTACATTTCTGAAAGTTTCATAATCTCCTTTGAGGTTATGTCTACATTTGTATACCATTATAAGATAATAGTGGCAGAATCTGGTTCACGTGATGATTTGCCCATTTGTCAGCATCAGTCGATCTTCCAGAGTTTTTGTAATTGTGAACATCGTGCTGGAATTGCCCTTACAGCCTGCAAAGGTGTTCAAATTTACTATACAAGCTAAAAAAAAATCATGGCCTAGGATAGTCCAAAGAGAAAAAAGAAAAGAAAAAGGAGAACACTCAACTTCTTTCAGGTTTTATCGAGGAGAGGTTTGTTTTAAATTGGGCTTGTGGTAAATTAATTCATTGGATGCAGCAATGTATTGTGAGAGCTTCAAAGCAGGTCTTGCCTAATTAGGGGCATGGCACTGACCCATAATTCTTTCATTAGGTAGTATTTTCTTAACTACTAATAGAAACATAGAATAGTTAGGATTGGAAAGAACCTTAAGATCATCTAGTTCCACCCCCCCTGCCATGGGCAGGGACACCTCACACTAAACCATGCCACCCAAGGCTCTGTCCAGCCTGGCCTTGAACACAGCCAGGGATGGAGCATTCACAACTTCCTTGGGCAACCCATTCCAGTGCCTCCACCACCCTTACAGTAAAGAACTTCTTCCTTATATCCAATCATAGTGTAAGTACAGGTAACATATTCTAAGCAATGTTTTTGATGTCATACAAACCCACTCAAAGCTACAGAATAACCCAGAGAGAATGTATCCCAATGTACAGTAGAGATGCAAGGCAAATTTTAAGTGCTTAATGAAAAACATTATTTTATTCAGTTGCCTATAATAACAGAGGCTGGACTTGGTGATTTTGCCATCCTGGTCCTAAATTTTCAAGAAACCAGCAAATGTGACAGTGATCAAAGGAAACTTGGTACTGGAAAGAATGATAGCAAACTATACATAAAGATATATGACCTCTACTAGAATAAAGCTGGGAAAGCCGAATACATGCTTGGATGAAATTTTGTAGTTTTGCCACACCACAACAAAGGCATATGCTTGCGGTAATTAAAAACATGTTGATGCTATGTTTCCAGAAATAAAAGGTGCTCTGTAGTTTTCAATTATTATAAATGATAAATATAAGATATATTTGGGCTCCATGTACATGAAAAATTAAAATACAATA